AAGCCAGGAGCCAGGAGCTTCTTCAGGGTCTCCCACATGGGTGCGGGGGCCCAAGCACTCGGGCCATCCTCCACTGCCCTCCCAGGCACATTAGCAGAGAGCTGGATCGAAAGTGGAGCAGCCGGGTCTCGATGGGCGCCCATATGAGAACGCAGGCAGAGGCTTAGCCTACTATGCCACAGCACTGGCCTGGGGCTCTGCATTCCTAACAAGCTCTCAAGTGATGCCTCTGCTACCGGTCTGGGGACTTGGAGGCACAAGGTCACAGGCAATTTGGAGCTCCCTGACGTCCACCTGTCTCTGCTCCAGGCCTTTGCCCACTAAGCACCTCGAGCTGGGCCCATCCTCCTTGCCCAGTTCAGGCGGAGCGCCCTGTCCTTTAGGATTTTCACCGGCTCGCCTCTCCCCACGAGCTCTTGAACTGACCTCGGTCAAGGTAAGCACCACACTGTTTGCCTGGCCTGGTCCTGCCTGTCCACTAGGCCGTGAGCCCCTGCAGGGCGGGTTCTGTGTGTCTTATGTCTGTACCCCAGTACCTGGCAGATGAGGGCGCAGTCAGTGGAGTGTTGCCTGAATGAGTGATGGCTGAGAAAACCAACCCGCTCTGGCGTCAGACGCCCTGGGCTGGGTTTTGGGGCGGCTGAATGCGTTTGAAGGCATCCGCAGGTGCTGGCTAAGAGAAGACTTCACCAGTGGGTGATCCAGTTACAGCCTCTCTTGCCTCTCAAGCTTACGTGTCTTTGGTCAAGCGGTTTTTGTACAGAGATCTAACCCTGGAGCCGCAGGTGGTGCTGGGACAGGCTTCATAAGCAGAGCAGGGGTTGGGGATTAAGCTTGACCTAAGGCCTCCTGTGCGCCTGGGGAGGTGGGGGATGACTCCATTTCCCCAACATTCAGCGAGGTTGTCAGCTCACATCTTTAGGGCTACACGGTGGGACAACCAGGACTCAGAGCCAGCGCTGCAAATGCTGGGCTCGGTGACATTCCTGAATCCCTCTGTTTCACACAGTGTTGCTTAAAGCAGACGGCGGCGAGTTAGGGTTCTCCATATTAAAGTGGGATTGGGCACTTAAGCTGTTTTTGTTTTTTCTAATTTGGGCAGCCAGTTGGAAACTGTTGGGCCCCATTTGGACTTGCTGGGAAACCCATGAACTTGGCCTTTTGGAGACAATTATGAATAGGATTTATTTGCAAGATAAATTATGAAGATTTAAGATTCGCCCTCAAATTTTGCTTCCAGGCTGCTTTTCAAGTAAATAGTTTCCAATCCCAAAGACACCACAGTTATTTTAGATTTTATCTTTTAAGATCAGAATCCACTGATTTTCTTAGTTTTACAAGAACATGTCTTCACAATAAGCCACAATAAGTCCTGCGATTCCTACGCAGCTGAATCTGGTAATGAGTAACCTTGAACTCGGTGGTGAGTGAGGATAATTTCAGAACACTTGGCTTTATTTTAAAGGGCAGGATTTTGGAAGCAGGCTCCCAGGTCTGCATCCAAATCCATTTTTCTGGAACATTCCAGGGAGACTCTCCAGTTCCAGGTGAGAGCCGAGGGAGGAGCAGGCACACTGGCTGCCCACATGCCCGGCCCAGGAGCTCCTCCGGGTCCCAGCATGGCGGCTTCGGGATGCCTCTCCGTGTTCTGGGAAGGTGAGCTGGCTCCTTCCTGACTCGGGCTGGGCCTGGAAAAGCCTTTGAGAGTGGGCAGGAATCGGAGGCCACCCCAGCCCCTCTGCTGTCCGCATTCCCCTGTGCTTGCCGGGCCGGCTGCCTGCTCTGCCTCGGGGTCCATGCAGAATTCTGAAGGAAGAAAACACGAGTCGCAGGACCTTCGCCTCGCCGTGGACAGCGGTGCCAGGTGCGCCGCAGCCCCCGCTGGCTGACCCGCTGCCCGACTTCCCCGCGGCTCTTGGAGGTAAGGCGCGTCTCTGGCTTGCTGAGCGCTTTCTGACAATTCATCTTTTTCCATTTTGGGGTCTGGCTTTGGAAGCTCAGAGAGTAGTAAAAGTGTCTGGACCGGCACTGATGTTAGAGATTTTTCGTTTTTTTAATTTTTTTTTGATGTTAGAGATTTTAAAAAATACAACTCTGATTTTTGTAAAAGTAAAACAGAAAGGTGGTGGGAGAGCAGCCTCAAGAGGAATAACTCGGTTTCTGGTCCATTCTGCTAACCACACGCTGCTCCTGTGCACCGGGCGTCAGGGTGCTGTGATTCCTCGGGCAGCCGTGGTTGTGGTCTCGCTTTTGACCTTGGAGTCATCCCAGCAGGCAAGATCTGTCTGTGCCCCACTTTGCAGGTGGGGAGACTGAGGCACAGAGATGTGATTTGCCCAAAAGCAGAGAGCAAACAAGCGCCGTGGCCCGGACGCTAACCTCAGCGTCTTGACTCCAAAGCACAACGTGCCCACGAATTGTAAGCCCCGAGCGTGGACGGACGGGACGAGGAGCACCCCAGACCAGTTGCCCAGGGACAGCTCGATGCAATCCACGAACTCAGCTGAAGTGTGGGGGTTCCTTCCAACAGTGGGAGGGGCGATGAGAACCTGACGCTTCCTGGTTAGAGATCCATCCGGAGAGACACGGGCGGCTGTCTTATAAACAGCTGTCCCAGGGGTTCCGGATGCAGCTCAGAGAGGGACGGGCATGGCTGGTGACATGGACCATCATTCCATAGGTGTGCCGTGAGTAGGTGACATTCCCCAGCCGCGTGGAAGGCCGGCCTGCTGGGCGCCCCAGGCTGCTGGTCTGCCTGCAGTCAGGCCTGATGTGGGAGGGAGTGCTGACTTTCGGCCAGCTTCAGATCACCCCCACCACGCTTTAGCAAAACATTTCTCACAGAGGCAAAGAAAAGCAGGAAACTGAATTTGGTTAGTGAATTAGATCAACGTGCCACATCCTCTTATGCTGGAACAGCCGGGGGGTGGGGGGTATCTGACTCGTCTGCGTCATCACCACAGCTCTTCCGGGGCGGCCCACGTGTCCCCATGCTCACGTCCTCGTGCTAATTAGGGAACGCCGAGGGTCAGGCCACACGTGTGAAACGCGTGCCTCGCGACACGCCGACGCTTTGCTTTGAGCCAGCTTCTCCGTCAGCCCAGAGCGCTGCCCAGCCGGCTGGCGACTGCCACCCGTCACCAGGCTGCTCCTCGGTGGCTCCCAGTGTGGTGTGCTTCAAGTGTGACGTGTTACAGCAGGGCAGGGGACGGCGTCCAGCGGACGGCCGAGTGGGGCCCTCGAAACCGTCTGGATTGGCCCTGCCAGGGACTTGAAACTCAGTGCAGCCAGAGCAGGCTGACTTTTCAGCTGCTCGTGTTGTCTGGCCTGGGAATGATATAAATATCCAAACGGCCCTTGGCAGAAGACAGGTTCCCCGGCCCTGTTTATAGAACGGGAAGTGAGTGAAGTCCCCATTTCTGTCAGCGCCGTAAGTTCCATTTGGGTTCTGCTCCATCTGACATGCATCCGTGTCATCAGACACACTCAGGCACCGAGAGGGCCCCGCACACTCCACTGGGCGGCTCTGCCCGGGGCACACAGCTCTCCGGCCTTAGCAAGAAGCCCAAAGATTATCCTGAACAAAGGGAGCTGCACTGTGTAAACTGGAATTCAAATCTTTGCAATGAAAAACATCCTCAGTCCAATACGTCACAACCTGCGTTTGGGCTGCCCGCGAGAATCGCCGTATCGCTCTATTTCAGTGCTCAGACAGCTGCATTGATAGCCTGGCTCTTTTGGGGCAGGCACTGTGGCATAGATGGTTAAAGGGCCACCTGCAGTGCCGGCATCCCATATGGGCGCCGGTTCAAGTCCTGGCTGCTCCACTTCCGATCCAGCTCCCAGCACCTGGGAAAATGGTGGAGGATGGCCCAGGTATCTGGGCCCCTGCATCTATGTGGGAGACCCAGTGCGGCTCCTGGCTTCCGCCTGGCCATTGCAGCCATTTGGGGAGTGAACCAGCAGATGGAAGAGCTCTCTCTGTAACTGACTTTCAAATAAATGAATCTTTGCAAAAAAAACAAAAAACTTAGCTTTTTCCTATTGAAGAGACTTAAAGAAATCTTGCTCCCGACTCACGAAGGAGCAAGACCCAGGTTTTTTGCCTGACACAACATCGTTTCGCAAGTCAGCTTGGGTTTGACTTCACTGGAGCCGGCAATGCAGGCGGCTGACCTGATGGGAAGCTGCTGTTTTCTAAAAATGCACGAAGACCTAACTGGGCCGGTGCTCGCCCGACAGGAGCTGCTCAGGATCCGGCAGGAGCTGTGACTCGGGCTTGAGTGCATCCCGTGCTGTTCATGAATTCTTCTGCAGCTCCTCTGGCTCCCTTCCAAAGTGGAAGGCGAGGCCCTGTGTCCTGATCGCCCCCATGTGCCAGGCGTCAGCTCCCGGGGGAGTCAAGTCCCACGGGTGCGGCTTTGGCGGGCATGAGCCCGAGGGACTCCACATTTCCAGCTGGCCACTGGCCCCTTCCTGGGTACAATTAAGTCACCCCTGCCCCGAGCACAAGGCTGGCCCTTGCTTCAAAGGCAGCCAATGAGTGAATTATTTACCAAATTGCACAAAAGGGCGGATTTATCAAGCTCCCTTTCTCCCGTGGAGGCCAAACCCAGAACCAGAGGACTTTATTACTCCCTCGCTTGCTATAAATCGTGCCATTGAGATGCCTTTGAAAGCTGCTCTTCATGCCCTGGCCCGAGTCGTAAAACTCGATACCTGAGGCTACACGCCTGCGTCCCTGCGACTCGGGCTCTGGGCAGCGCCACCCAAGGCAGGTGGCTGGGGGAAGCGGGGCGGCGGGGACAGTGACCACCTCATTCCTGCCTCCTGGACCTGAGGTTCCACGCTGGCCTTATTCTGATGGACTGCACAGCATCCTTCATCTCCTCAAACCTGGATTAGCTATTTGGGGAAGGCCGGGTTTAGCCAATACCGCCAGTTTGACTGTCACAGTAAGACAGGAGTTGTAGGCTTTGTGGATTTCAGCGGCCACTCACTTGCAGGGGCTTTGCTGGGGCCTGCTTTCTCTGGTTTCCTTGGTGTCATAGTGCTTTTGTGTTTCTGCTTGACTGGTGTCTGGTCAATGGCTGGAAGTCTGGAATCACACTTGACTGTAGATACCTTGGGAAATGATTTTGGTTCGGTCAGAGGCTCCTCCTCACCAGAACTCTACGGAAAAAACAAAAGGTTTCCGGGTATCAGTGGCCACATAGGTTACTTTTCTTGAGGCAGAGAGAGGAAAAAAAAAAAAAAAGAAAAGAAAAAAAGAAATGAGGCAGATGCAGTAACCCCTCCAGCAATAACCCTGGCCCTGACGGCCACGCTCGGCACCACTCCACCCGTGAGACGCTGAAGGGCTGGGCACAGCCACTTAGAAACCACAGCAAAATGTGGCTGGCATGTGGCAGCAGCGAAGTCGCTGCCCAGGATGCCCACGTCCCCCACTGTGGTCCCTGGAGGAGTCCCAGCTTCTGTGCTTCCAAACACGCACCCCTAGGAGATGGCCGACGATGGCTCAAGTAGTTGGGTCCTGGTCGCCTACCAGGAGACCTGCATTGAGTTCCCTGCTCCTGGCTTTTATGGGTATTTGGGAAGTGAACTAGTGGATGGAAGATCTCCCTCTCTCCCTCTCTCCTTCTCTCCTTCTCTCCCTTTCAAATAAAATGAACAAAAGAAATAAATAAAAGCTACAAAGAGAGCCCAACTGCAAAGCTGAGACTATGAACATTCTGTAGAGCATTAGGAAGAGGATGTATCCGGAGTCTGTTTTGTGGAACATCGTGCAAAGAACGCGTTTCTGACCCCTAGATAATTTGATGACCAATAGATAGCTCATGTTAAAAGATACATGTGAAAGCAACCGGGGGGAGAAATCAGGGCTTTTAACCTTCTTGCTGTTTGTTATTTGAGCTGCTTTGGAGATAGGTCAGGGAAAATGTTCCTTATGTTAATCGTACGCTTGACAGTGAGTGAAAAGGAAATTTAGCCAGCCGTGGTGGGGACTGATTAAATCAGCGCTCCGCCTCACTATTCTGAATCGCTGGGTGCAACTCCAGACGGACTAATCTTCCAGAAGGCCCCCACCCTGTCAGTCTCCTACAAAGAAGTCAGCGTAAATCTGTGCACGGACAAATCAGGATTCCTGCGGTGTCAGAATCTCGCCACCCAGCCTTGCAGACACAACAAAAATTATTCAGGCATTGGACAGTTTTATCCTCCGCCACACTGGCATCCACCAACGAAATGATGAAGACAACCCGCGTGTAAAGGGCTCCGAGAAACCTGATCTTAGACGCCAAGTGCAGCCTCACGGTGTCGGGTGCTGGTGTAGCACCATCTGCTGGGTTGTCCCCTCCACACGAACAATCACAAGGTGGCTCCTGACCCCACCCACCCACCCGTCACACCTCGGCCCCGCCCTGGGGAGGCCCCTCTGCGGCCACGGGGGCTGAATTAACGTCCCCGGTTGCTGACGTTTGTGTTGATCTTGCTCATCCTTCCTCCTGACAGTCGTGACACTTTAATTTCACAGGCTCCTTACTCGGGCGAATACTCTGAATAGCTCTGAATGATTGGGTGCGATGTCAGACACACTGAACTCTTAGAAAGTCCCCCACTTGTCAGTCTGCCACAAAGAAGTCTCTATAAATCAGCAGGTGGACAGATCCCTACCCACCAATGCCATAAATCAGTTTTTACGTGTCAGGTTTGGGTAGAGCTGACAAACACACATAATTATTGTCTGCCGTCCATTTGCAGAAAACACCCCCCCCCCCCCCCGACACACACACACACAGGAAGGGGCAGGATGAGCGCCCGGCATCAGCAGTGGCCCTGTGGAGTCTGCAACTTCATAGCAGTCCCAGACAAGCAGCCTTGGCCAGCAGTCCTTGGGCACCTGCCACCCACATGGGAGATCTGGATGGAGTTCCAGGCTCCTGGCTTTGGCCTGGCCCAACCTGGGCCATTGCAGCCATTTGGGGAGTAAGCCAGCAAATGGAATATATCCCTCTTTCTCTTTCTCTCTCTGTGTTGCTTTTCCCTTTAATTAAATAAATAAATCTTTTTTAAAAATAAAAGGAAATGTGGGAAAATGTTAATTATGATGCCTAATACTGTCATTCTAATTGGGCCCTGGAAGTCATAGTCCTAGAATTGGGTTCCAAGAACAATAGGAGTGAGCATGGGATGGGATTTCTTCCACAAACTTCCCAACACAACCAGCTGGCGTTAGTGGGCCAAGTCTGCTCACACAGGGCCTGCCCATCAGCCTTTGTTTCCAGCCAGCAGAAAGGTGGGACAGAGGCTCTGGCTGAAACCACCAGCACCTGTGACCACAGCACCAGGAACAGGTGTCTGCCATTAGTGGGCCCATCCCTGTCACCTCCACCCAGAGCTGGAGGTCATTCCTTGCCTAGGCAGAGGTGAGCAGGGAGGAGTCAGCAAGGAAACGCCTGCGGGTGGGACGTGCGGCTGAGCTGACCCCCCCCCCCCCCCCCTCATTAGGCTTCCAGCCAAAGGGGCGCCGGACAGCCTGGGCTATGAAAGGCTGCCTCCTAGGAGTGGGGCTGTGCACTGGCGTTCCAGCTCCATCTCTCTCTGATTCCTGCTTCCATCAGCCTTGGTTCCACCAGCCTTGGTTCCAGGAGAGCCTAGAAACTACAAGAGAAGCACATGTTTGGTCGGCGGGAACTGAAGCCACAATGGCCAGACCTATCATGCGCACACTGTGTGGGTGTGCAAGGGAGCTCTTCCTGCTAGCCTGAGTCATCCTAAATAATCACTGCTACTTTGTGGTCTTTATTCACAGCCTCTTGCCATCTCAGCCGTTCTCACCCACCCTCTCTCCCAAAAACTCAGGGGTTCATCTAGCAGAATGAGCCTTGGATGGGTATTGAAGATTTTGGAACCCAGCTCCCCGGAAGTGAATCCTGGCTCTTGCCTGAAGTAATACTGTGTGACACTGGGTTCATTCATTTCTCTGCAACTCAAATGTCCTCATCCAGGAGCAGCAGTAGATCTTTTGGTGTGGATTAATGTATATTAATTAGTTAGGAGCATATCTTTTGTGAGGATTAAATGAGCTAAGATATGTATATAGCCCTTACAACAGCGCTATATCCACATAACGCAGTGAGTGCCATGTATGTGTTGGCTTTTGTAATTAGTCATTCATGTCCAGCCAACTTTTGTACATTAACTGCCCACTGTTGAAATCAAAGACCCCAATCAAAAATCCTATCGAATTTCATCTATTTTAAAAAGGTATGAACGGTGAGGTGGGTCAGGTCCTGCCCTGGACTCTGACTTCTTCTCCAGGCCACTTCATTTACAATAATCATAAATAACCAGCAGAAAAGTCTATAGTCTTAAGAAAACATGGTGCAAATTTCTTTCAGACAATAAAGCTCTTGTGGCCAATATTTAACAGCATTTACAGATTATCAAACGGTAGTAATTAAACATTTTGACTCAATTTTGATTTAGAAATTTTGTCTTTTCCTCCTGTAATTTTGAAAATTGCGATATTCATACATTCCTAAGCTGATATGTCACACGGAGGTGGAGGCAACATCACACAGCATTCCTTCAGACAGAGAAAACCAGCTTTATATTTCAAAATCAAAGCCTGGAGCAGCAGAAGCAAAAACAAACACCCCAACCTATCTGACATAAGATGATATTTTAAGTTCTCTATTGGGAATTTGATGAAAGTCCTAATAAAACCCTGCTAACTACCATAAGTTATCAACAAAATTACTAAGTATTTTCTGGAGTGCTGTTGTTTTTGTATTTAAGGTTTTCCAATGGTTCCCAACTTGGTCTTTGGTCATCATACATAATAGAGCGGGGCTTTGCCCAGGGCTAGGCATGCTCACAAGCAAGATGGAACCCAGTCTCTCATCTGTCCCCTTAGACAACACATCCTTGCCAGCCTTTAGGGTTAACCACTTATCAAAAGGAATCCACTGAATTGAGGGAGGGTAGAGTTGGCCCTACTAGGTTCTAGTTACCAGACTCAAGAAGTCATTTGCTTCTCCCATAGATAAAACCCTGTTGGCCGGCGTTGCCGGAGGGGTTTGTTTAGCAAAATTCCAAGTCTGGGGCAGAAGGTAATCCCTCAGACTTACAGAAGCCCCCTTGGCCACCATAAAAATTCCCCAAAAAACACCGCATCGCTGACCAGTCAAAGGAAGATCGGGGGCTCCAGCGACCAGCCAGGAACTTGGACACGAGCTGAGCACACACTTCTCAGCTCCAATTTCAATCGATAAGAACCTTCACCCCAACTCCATGGGGAGCCTAGGAATTAATCGACAGCTGCCCAGCTCCTTGCTCTGCGCTTTGCGAACAGATACCTGACTTCTTCCACTGCGCTGATGCCAGGGATTTGTTTGCTGAGCACACAGCGAGTGGATCCAGGTTGGGGGGCTCTATGGCAACGCCTCCAATTAGTTTGTGGGCTCCTTCTGCAACACAATTTCAGGGAACGCCTCACGCTGGGGAGAGGAGGGACTTCGGGGGGCAAAGTGAGTACTACTGAGCGCGGAAGTACTGAGCACCGTGCGAGGGGTCAAGTCAGAGCTCCTGCAAGACGCACACGCAGGGCTGGGGCGTGGGATGCATCTCCCTGGGGAGGCGAAAAGGACTAGATTTTTTTTAAACTGGGACCTAACAACTTTGAGTCTGAAATGGGAAGGTGACAATGAAGACAGATGATCAGAAGAGCAAGTCGGCTAAAGCAGCCAGGGACAAAAAAGGCTGGAAGTTGTTTTCCGGCTCTTGCCTCATGGCTCCTTTGCAAGACCCAGGAACCCGGTTCTCAGCCGGCGTGCCACCCCCGCCCCTCCCCGAGCTGCGCTGCCCGATCCCGACGGCTGTGCAGGAAATCCAAAGTCTGCCCGGGTTGCGGGGTGGGGGGTGGGAGGCTGAGCGGGGCGGATCGGGGCACGCTTGCTGTGAAGCCGAGGAGAGAGCGAGGTGTGGGGAGAAGTCTGCGTGTTTCCTACATGCAGCACATCTCAGGAGATTACGCAAGAGCAAGATGGAGGCAGCGAACCTTGACAGACAGAGACAACACGGGCAGGGTGACCAGGTGCAGACGAGTGCCCGCTGAGCGCCGTGCCCGACGCGCGCGTCCACACTGTGCCTCACACACCGAGAGCCTC